AAGTTCTTCAAAGGTATAATTTTTCCCCTGTTTTTCCTTCTTGCACATTTTGATTTTGTTACCCAAATATCACGAATAACGGTCTGCTTCCGCTCCGGGATTCACATCCCTTCAGGACCTAGAAATGGAGTCTATGTACTTCAATTCCGTTTGAGAACTTGTAGACCAACCTGACGGGGTAAGACCCATAGGGTGCAAATAGATTTACAAGAGAAAACGAGACGTCGAAGGATAGGTACAGACATATAAGATGAGACTTGTTGAAAAAGGCTACACACAAAGGGAATGAGTGAACTGTGAAAAAACCTTCTCCCCTGTAGCTATGCTGAAGTCCATAAGAATACTTTTGTCCATTGCCACATATTATGACTATGAGATTTGGTAAATGGACGTCAAAACTGCCTTTATAAATGAATCTTGAAGAAAGTATTTATATGTCTCAACCCGAGAGGTTCATAGCTCAAGGTCAAGAGCAAAATGTTTGCAAGCTTAAACGGTTCATCTACGGATTGAAACAAGCATCTCGATCTTCAAACATAAGCTTTCATACTGCAATCAAATCTTATGGTTTTGATCAAAATGTTGATGAACCTTGTGTATACAAGAAGATCGTCAACAACACCGTAGCCTTCTTAATGTTGTATGTGGATGATATCCTACTCATTGGGAATGATGTAGGATATCTCACTAACATAAAGAAGTGGCTAGCTACTGAGTTCCAAATGAAGGATTTGGGAGAAGCTCAGTATGTTCTTGGCATCCAAATTCTAAGGGATCGCAAGAACAAAATGCTAGCCCTGTCTCAAGCAACTTATATCGACAAGATGCTTGTTCGATATTTGATGCAGAATTCTAAGAAGGATTTATTGCCTTTCAGGCATTAAATTCATATGTCTAAGAATGTCCTAAGACACCTCAAGAAGTTGAGGATATGAGACGCATACCCTATGCTTTAGTAGTGGGCAGCCTGATGTATGCTATGCTGTGCTCTAGGCCTGACATTTGCTATGCAGTAGGGATGGTCAGTAGGTATCAATCCAACCCAGGATATGATCATTGGACTGTTGTTAAAGGAATCCTCAAGTATCTTAGGAGAACGAGGGACTACAAGCTCGTGTATGGCTCTAAGGATTTGATCCTTATAGGATACATGACTCTGACTTTCAAAAGACAAGGATTCTAGGAAATCCACGTCGGGGTCGATATTCACTCTTAATGGGGGAGCGGTAGTTTGGCGAAGCATCAAACAAGGATGCATCGCAGACTCCACGATGGAGGCTGAGTACGTTGCAGCTTGTGAAGCAGCAACAAAAGCAATTTGGCTTAGAAAGTTCTTGACCGATTCGAAAGTCGTCCAAATATGAACTTGTCCATCACACTTTATTGTGATAACAGTGGTGCTGTTGCAAATTCTAAAGAGCTTCGAAGCCACAAAAGAGGCAAGCACATAGAAAGAATGTACCACCTCATACGGGAGATAGTGCAACGAGGAGATGTGATCGTCACAAAGATCGCTTCAGAGCACAACATTGATGGTCCTTTTATGAAGGCATTGACGGCTAAAGTGTTTGAGGGCCATCTAGAAAGTCTAGGTCTACGAGCATTGTACAGTTAGTCTAGGGCAAGTGGGAGAAAGTGTAACAGGTATAGTGTATGCCCTAGTATATTGTATTTCCGTTTGCTTTATGATTATGTACACCCCATTAGTGTTTAGTTCAAGTGGGAGTATGTTGGGTGTGTTGCCCTAAACTCGTGGTTTGTATTTATGTAAAAATAAATTTATATTCAATGAAGTTTTATTAAATCAATTTGTTGTTGAATTCATAGCAATGCATTGTCTAAATCCAATAAACTAAACATCCAAAGTTATTGTCATGTAATCGGGACAGTATATATACTGGATATATATTTGATATACTCTCAATATACAAATGGATAATGTCCCGGGAATAACCTAAAGGGTCTATAGTACATGGATAAGGTTGCGTACTTTGTCATGGCAACACTATGGATACGACCCACTTTGTAAATGTTACAGACGACCCGGATATACGTCATTCGTGTGGAGATATGCGAGTGGGGTATCCTATACAATGAGTTTGTATAAGACTGGACAACGAAATAGCCGATCTTTAGATGTAACGCCGTTGACTAACAGATTGCTATTTCATAGGATGACTAGGCAACTCATTCTCAATCTTGAGTGAGTTATGGACTCCTGCCCGTGAAGGCTCGTCCTTTAATATGTATGGGTGAGAGTGGCCCGAGTTGCCGACTCAATATTCCTACCATTTTGGGGACGAGATCGAGTGGGGAGCTGGGAACATAACTTCATGAGATGGAATTCACTCCTCCCCGACTTTCGGGGAGTATATGAGTGTTCTCTTAAATGTTGACTCTGGGACTTGAACATGGGGTCCCACCCTTTCATTGTCCCGAGAGGGACTTTCGGTTATTGGTTGGACCATAACCGGGTTGTCCATTTCAAGAGCAGGAGTATTTAAGGAGTAAGATGTAACTTAGGTGTAAAACGGGTAATTTGACCCAACTTGAGTTATGAGCACTCTTAAAGGATTGACTTGCCATTAATTGTCGTATATCCGTGGACATGAAAATATTCTACAGTGAGAAGAGTGCAGCTACTGGTCTTTAGTGGAGTGACCCGTAGTTTACGAATGTTGATTAACTTGGTTAATGAGTTGGACCGATTAATCTCATATCGTTGGAGCTTTTGATATGTAGGTCCATTAGGTCCCTTTGCTAGCTCACAACGGGTAAAACGAGGATCAAGTTTCTTTGGAAGAATTTGAAATGTTCAAATTGCTCAAGGGATTATATATATGTATATTGATACATTATAATATATAGTTAATTTAATTAAAACTATATATTATGAGAGAAATTATTTGAATGAGATTCAAATAAAATTACTATGAATATGACTTATATTAAAACTATAGGTTAAAAATAATGTGCATAACATGTACATTTAACTATAGGTTATGTGAAAGAAATGTTTTAGAATATGATTCTATTTTTTGCAATAAATAATTAAGTGTTAATTATTTATTTATTCAAAATATATATATATATATATAAAATTGATTAATTAATTAATCATTAATTAGATTAATAATTAATTAATTAATTAATAATTAATTAGATTAATAATTAATTAATTAATTAATTATTAATTAGATTAATAAGATTAATTAATTATTATTATTAATATAATTAAAATTAATTAATATTAATATAACACACCCATGCTTAATTGCAGGGAGTGGGAGGTTAGTGATGACGGGGAGTTACCCCACGTCATACTTGTTGCAGTTTGCAGAGTTCTGTTGAAAAAAAAACCTGTTGAAAATCAACTCAAGTTTTCTCCCTAGAATTCCCTTGCGATCCAAATCAACGCTTCCACAAGCGAGTTCTCAGTACCAAGAGGATAGCACGGAAGATCTTTAGTGGTGTTCGATTGAATCGAGGAAGAAAAGTTCTTCAAAGGTAAGGGAAAACATTTTTTCCCTGTATTTTCTTCCTTTTGCACATTTGATTTTGTTCTTCAAAATTCATGATCTCGATCTGTTTTCTGCTGCGGGATTAACATCCCATCACATGGAACATCTCTTTTTCTTACGCTGGTATGCAAGTTAGTGTTGGAATTTATTGCTAAAGGAATTCAATATGGATTGGGTTTTTTTATCAAAAGATGGCAGACAACATGATTCAGTTTCTATTGGGGCCTATTCTGAATCCTAAAGCTTCTATTCTCTGGCTAAATGGAGTCAAGACTTTAGTATATGATCTGTGGTATGAAAGAAACCTAAAGATTTTTGAAGAAAAGAAGCAGTCTCTGTCAACTCGCTTCGATCTTGCTAACTTCAAGGCTTCCCATTGGAGTTCTTTATCTTCTTTATTTAATCCTTATCGCCCTAGTTTGATTAATTTAAATTGGGGTGCTTTTATTTCAAATTTATGAGTGTTAAGTTTTATGAGTTTTATGAGTTTTTAGTTTTCAGTTGTAATTTTATTTTATTTGCTTCTCACTCTCTCGAGAGTTTGTATCTTTAATCAATTTTTATTCCTTTTCATTATTTCAATGAGAAGTTCGTATCTTGTTCAAAAAAAAAAAATTTAGTTCTATCATCTTGTTTGAGTTGAGCTATATACGAGATTTTAGTAACGTGCCCCATTTGTATGGTTAGAAATTTGGGGGTGTTACAGTTGGTCTCAGAGCGGAGTTGGTCCTGTAGACTGACCTAAAACCTAGGACGTTTAATGTTATTGTCTTTATTAGTCTCCTCTCCATCACCAGGTACGTGAACTTGTTATCTTATAGTTCATTGATTTATGGACTTATTATTATCTTAAGTTATGTTTGAATTTATTTGCTTATGCGTAACATGTTTGTTTTATGTTTTGTCGTGTTGATGCTTGTGAGTTAGTTAGGTATAGGATGCTCCCTAGTTAACTAGATAGATTTGAGATTTAACTTGTTGCATGTTTTATGTTAGAGTTCTTAATTAGGTTGCTAACATTGATCAGGGTAATCCCTTACTTTTTGGATTTGAATTGTGCGTTTGGATTTTTTCCTAAATTGATAATTTAAATTTTGAGATTTTCTAATTTTGAGTTCTAATTTTTAATTAGAATTTAAGTTTAATTTCGTAAGTTTAAAATAAGTTAAGTTTTCAATTTTTTGAAAAAGATTTTAATTAAATCTTAATTCAAAGTTTTGGATTTTATTGTTTGATTTCGAATACAAGTTAATCTCTCAAATAAAATTTTCACACCTTACTAAAATGGGTTTATTTTTGGAAAAGGATTAGAAAAAATTACTTGATCTCAACATTTCGAACCTTGAGTCGGACATAAACAAAAAATGATAGAAAACTTTATTTTACAGAAATAGACCAATTTCAATTTTTTGTTTTTTGAGTTATTTTTGGCAATTTTCCAATAAAGAGTTAATCCTTTTCCGTCTAACGCTTGGTTTCTTCCTAGTCGCTAGCCTCACTGCAGTTCTCATGCTCTCTCTCTCTCTCTCTCTAGTCTCTACTCCATGGCGACGCTGTCACCGCACTGCCATTACCGCCCCTCCCACCACCGCAGAATCTCCCAACCTACCGATTTATCTGGTCGGAGCTTCAATTCCACTCTCCAAAAATCGCTCATCATTTGCAAGAACTCCAATAACGAATCGGCATTCGCAGAGAAAAAGCAAGTTCTAGTGGACTACAACAATGGCAAGCACGAAATTCGAACCCTCGTTAATGGACTCCGAAAAGTCGATATACCCAGGCGGTACCAGTTGCGAGTTGAGGGCGAACGATTCCAGAAGGACTGGACGGTCACTGAGGTCGTCCAAAGAATTCTGAAGCTACAAAATCATAGCGATGTCGAGGCTTTGCTGAATTGCTGGGTTGGACGATTTGCTAGAAAGAATTACCCTGCTCTTATGAAGGTACATGACTTCCTCTGTCTCTCATTTTAATACCTTATTGTGCGACGGAAACAGTTTGTTAGACTCTAATTCGTCGATTGGTATGACTGATTTGGAGAATTTACGAGCGACATTTACGAGCTTGATATGTGTATAAGTTCCATTTACGTGATGGAGACTTGAGTTAGCAAGCCTTTTATTATCTACTACATGAATGTTATATGGCGGGAAACATATATCTCAATGTGATAATTTTTCGTTTCTTAATACAACCGTTCTTTACCCTTGTCGCAGGAGTTGACTCAAAGTGGGTCTATTGAACACTGTGTTCAAGTATTTGTTTGGATGAAGAACCAACAGAATTATTGTGCCCGTAATGATATCTACAATATGATGATAAGGCTGCATGCCCGACATAACCGAACCGATCAAGCTCGTGGTTTGTTTTTTGAAATGGAAAAGTGGAGGTAGGTCTTAGATTCACCATGTATTGTTTTAAGTATTGAGGATTCTTTTTTTTCTATGGTTCTGTGAAGGTATTCTTGATGCTTTGTTTGTTGTGATGCCATTCTTACCTCTGTTCAAATATTGTTAATTAAATGATTTCTTATTAGATGCAAACCTGATGCCGAGACTTACAATGCCCTAATCAATGCACATGGTAGAGCAGGCCAATGGCGTTGGGCGATGAATATAATGGAAGACATGCTACGTGCTGCTGTGTGTATTTATACTTACCTTATGATCTTAGTGGCTCTGACTGACTGTGAGCAACCTTCTTGTCTTTGATTGTTCAAGTTATACACACACATAATATGTGTTTGTATGCCCATAATCTTCATCCATTCAATGTTCATCAATATCAAAGAACTAGGACTACATACCTTAAAAAATTGATAGTTAAAACCCTCACAAGGTCAATCATGAATGCCCTAAGACCTGGGGATTTGTGTAAAATTTCTTTTATGGAGGTATTCCAGGTTGTTTTCTTTTTATCTTTTGTTTAACTTCCCTAACTTGCAGTCAGGTTGAATAAGTGGAGTGCACAAGCCTGTGAGATATTGGGTTTGGGAAAGATCTAGGAAGTCTTTATGAGTTGTGTCGGTCTTATTGGTGTTTAGTTGGGGACTTCAATGTCCTAAATTTCGAGTGGAGAAATTGAGTATGGGGTTTCTGTAGGTCTGTGAGAAAACTGGTGACTATGGATTTGTGCACTTTCCCTTATCAAATTTACATTGACCCATATGTCTTATTTTTGGTCCGACTTCTTGGGGTCCTACCCTTTCTAGATTTGAGACACACAATTATTTTAAGGATGAATAAACCACCACTCAACCCAAAAGCTTAAGCTGATGGGTTGGGTAGATTTTAATTCATATATGGATATCTCAACACTCTCCCTCACTCGTGGGCTTGGATAATTGCACAAGAACCAACAAGTGGAAATCATTATAAATGGGGAGGAAATAACAAGGTCTGTTTGGTGAGATTCTTCATAAGGAGGATCAAAGTTGTAGACAAAAAGCTAAGTTCAAATGGGCTAAATAAGGTGACTGTAATTCCAGGTTTTTCCATAGTTTGGCTAATGGGAGAAGAAGTAAGAATGTTATTTCTTCCTTGGTTAATGAGTCTGGGGAGGTGCTGTGTGAGGATCAGAAATTGAGGAGGAAGTGATTTTGTTCTTTAAGAACTTATACTCCCCAACATCGTGTTCCAGGCCTTTCTTGGAAGGTTTGGATTGGAACCCCATCTCGGTGGTAGAGAAAGAAAACCTTGAAGCTCCCTTCTCGTTAGAAGAAGTTCGTAGGGTTGTGTTTGGCTTTGATAGAGATAAGTCCCCTGGCCCGGATGGTTTCACTATGGTGTTCTTTTAGGATAACTGGGATGGAGTTAAGGAGGACTTGATGAAAGTGTTTAAGGAGTTCCATGAAAGAGGGGTGATTGATGCTTCTATGAATGAAACGTATGTGTGTCTCATTTCGAAGAAGGTTAATGCAATCAAAGTCAAAGAGTTTAGACCCATCAGTCTGATTACAAGCCATAAAATGATTGCCAAGACCCTCGCTGACAGGTTAAAAAGGTTATGCCGACTACCATTTCAGAGACGCAAGGGGCTTCTATTACAGGGAGACAAATTTTGGATCAGGTGTTGATTTGCCAATGAATCGATTGAGGATTATAGAAAGAGCAAAAAAGAGGGTGCGATTTTTAAGATTGATTTTGAAAAGGCCTATGATCATGTAGATTGGGATTTTTTGGATAAGGTTTTGTGGAAGAAAGGTTTTGGTTACAAATGGAGAGGGTGGATTTGGAATTGCATTAGGTCGGTGAATTTCTCTATTTTGGTGAATGGGAGACCTAGGGGGGAAATCCTAGCCTCGAGAGGCCTCAGGCAAGGTGATCCTTTATCCCCTTTCCTGTTTATTCTGGTGGTGGATATCCTAAGTAGACTAATCTCTGTTGCAGTGGAGAAAGGGGCTTTGGAAGCTTTTGAAGTGGGTAGGGAGAAAATCCGTCTCTCACCTTCCGTTTGCTGATGATACCATCCTTTTCTGTTCTAGCAATCCTACTGCGTTTAAAAACCTTAATTGCCTTCTCGATTTCTTCGAAGCCATTTCGGGTTTGAAGATTAATAGGAGCAAGAGTTCGTTATTGGGAATTAATTGTGAGGACATCAAGATCAGTGAGTGGGCGACTCTCGTGGGGTGTGAAGTTGGTAAGTTTCCGACCTCTTATCTTGGTCTTCCGTTAGGTCACAATCCAAAGTCTGCTATCTTTTGGCCGCCGGTACTGGAAAAGTTTCAGAAGCGCCTCTCTAGTTGGAAGAAGGTTTTTTTTCAGGAGGGAGACTCACTTAAATTCAATTTGTTCTCAGAGGCATTTCGAACTACTTTTTGTCCCTCTTCAGAATCCCAGTGACTGTGAGTGAAAGGCTAGAGAAATTAATGAGGGATTTTCTTTGGGAAGGTGTGGAGGAAGGGGGTGGGCTCATCTTGTTAACTGGAAAGAGGTGTCTAAGCCTCTGGAGGAGGGAGGTCTAGGCATTGGGAACTTGAGGATTAGAAACGAGGCTTTCCTGGCTAAATGGTTATGGCGGTTCTTCCACGAATCTAATGCCTTGTGGCGAAAGATTATAGTGAGTAAGTATGGGCTTCATCTGTTTGATTGGGTACAGGCAGGTGGGGCTAGAGTAAGCAACTACAATCCCTAGAAGGCTATTGCTTTGGGTTTCCCTGTTTTCTCTCATTCTTTACATGTCTCTGTGGGGGAAGGTCTTAATACGTACTTCTAGGAGGATACTTGGATAGGCGACAAACCCTTGTGTCTTGCTTTCCCTCGGATCTACTTTCATCTGATAAGAAACTCCTTTCAGTGGCCGAGGTTTTAAGTTCTGGAGAAGAGGGTTTGTCCATCTCTTTGGGGCTCACTCGTTCCTTGACTGATCGGGAATCGTCAGAGGTTTTTGATTTACTGGATTAGCTGTCTAGAGTTTCCTTATTTGTTGGGAGGGAAGATGTGAGGGTGTGGACCCCCAATCCTTCGAAAGGTTTTTCTTGTAGCTCCTTTTTCCATGTCCTGAACTCCTTGTCGTCCTCTTCTTGTTCTTCGTCCCTGTTGACCCCTTGGTTCACCTCGCTTTGGGAGATTAAAATTCCAAAGAAGATCAAGTTCTTTGGGTGGCAAGTCTTACTTGGAAAAGTTAATACCTTGGATCAGATCCTCCCTTTATTTGGGTCCGCAGTGGTGTGTTCTGTGTAGGAATGCTTCGGAGGATCTTGATCATTTGTTGTTGTCTTGTCAGTTCGCGTAGGAGTTATGGCTTCGTTTCTTTAGATGTTTTGGGATTTTTTGGGCCCGTTCCAGAGATTGTAGGGCAATGATGGAGGAAGTATTGTTATTCTCCCCGTTTCGAGACAAAGGACGTTATCCTTGGCAAGCGTCTTTTCTGGCTACTCTATGAGGTATTTGGCAGGAGAGAAACAATAGAATTTTTAGGGGGGTAGAGAGATCTGTGGATTATACGTGGGATCTTATTAGATTTAACACTTCTCTATGGGGATCGGTCACTAAGGCTTTTTGTAATTATCAGTTAGGAGTCATTCTTTTGGATTGGAGCCCGTTTATTTAGGGGTTTCCTTTTGCTGGGCTGTTTTTTTGTACGCCCTCTTTTTGTAGTTTTTATTCATTTATCTCAATGAAAGTGCAGTTTCTTATAAAAAAAAACAATGTAGAAGTTCGGACATAGGACCTCCCGCTCTGATACCATCTTAAATTTAAGAGAATAAAATATTTTGATATATTCAAATAGTGCAACTTAGGTCTTCTTATATAGGAGAAAGACCTAATACAAAAAAGAGTAGTAAACCTAATACATAAAGGAATAAGAGACTTGCAACAAGAAAAGAAATAAAAACCTTAAAGATTTAAAAAGACAACCGATAAATGTTTATATATTGATATTCACAAAAATAACCTCAGTAATGTTGTTCTTTAGTGTAGATTTGGTGTGTTCTTTGGTAGTCCTTGTGTTGAAAAGGAAAAAAAATTGAAAAACAATGTTTAGTCAAGCATCTCTTAGTTGTCATCCCAAGAAATAACAAAAAGAAAAGTGTTTTTTTTTTAACGTAAAATACAAACTGTAGTATTGAGTGAAGAAAAAGTGTAGGGAGGGAAGATTTTGTAGAAGGTGAAGGAGAAGAAAGGTTTCTTGAGAGGGAATTAGGTTGGATTGTGAAGGAAAGGAAGAGATTTGTTGTCATCGGAGTATCAAGGATTGATAATTATTGGGATATATGAAGTGACATTCATCACAAGTTGCAGTTTTCTACCCAGGTTAGATGCATAGTTATTTTTTATTTTTTATTTTTATTTTTTGAGTTCAATATAGTTTTCTATTTGATTAGATGATTGATGCCCTTTATTTCCTGGTTTTATCGTTTTTTTGGGGTCATATTTCATTTGTTTGATAGGGGTTTTCATCCCTTCTGTACAAAAACGTAAACTTCATTATATTTAATTTTTTGCATCAAAAGACCCACTCAGTTACAGTTATTTTAAAAATTGTTCAGTCTTTACTGATATTACTTTTTGTTTATTTATACATATAAAATAAATATTAATGATAAAGATAATATATAATGAAGAAAATTATAAAACAATATTGTAAATATTGAAAAAATTTCAATAAATTTATATACAAATTAATTTTTTAACTTTGATTATCAATGTATATATATTATACTATGAAAGTTATTATTTCCTTATTGATGCAGATCCCTCCTAGTCGATCAACATTTAATAACTTGATAAATGCATGTGGATCTTGTGGAAATTGGAGAGAAGCTTTGCGAGTTTGCAAGAAAATGACGGACAACGGGGTTGGCCCTGATCTTGTGACTCACAATATTGTTCTATCTGCATACAAAAGTGGGGCTCAGTATTCAAAAGCTTTGTCCTATTTTGAATTGATGAAGGGCACAAAAATCCGACCTGACACAACTACACTTAATATTGTGATTCATTGTTTGATAAAGGTCAAAAAATATGGACAAGCTATTGAAATTTTTAATTCCATGCGGGAGAAGAGGGCTGAATGTCATCCTGACGTTGTAACTTTCACCAGCATCATCCATCTTTATTCTGTATGTGGGCAGATTGAAGATTGTAAAGCTGCATTTAATACAATGCTGGGAGAAGGCATAAAACCTAACATTGTTTCATATAATGCTCTAATAAGTGCATATGCTTCCCATGGGATGGATAAAGAAGCATTTTTAGTTTTTGATGAGATGAAAAGGAGTGGTTTTCGCCCTGATGTTGTGTCTTATACATCTTTACTCAGTGCATTTGGAAGATCTCAGCAACCTGCAAGGGCTAGGGAAGTGTTTGATATGATGAAGAGAAACAACTGTAAGCCAAATATTGTTACCTACAATGCATTAATAGATGCTTATGGATGTAATGGTTATTTAACTAAAGCTATTGACATCTTACGTGAGATGGAGCAAGATGGAATCCAGCCAAATGTTGTCTCAATATGCACCCTCTTGGCTGCTTGTGGACGATGTGGTCAAAAGGTGAATATAGATGCTGTACTTTCAGCTGCCAAGCTTCGGGGAATTCCACTGAACACTATTGCATATAATTCAGCTATTGGGAGCTATATGAATATTGGTGAATATGAAAAGGCAATTAATTTGTATAAATCAATGAAGAAAATGAACACTAAACCAGACTGTGTCACATATACTATCTTGATAAGTAGTTGTAGTAGGATGTCAAGATATGACGAAGCACTCTACTTTTTCAAAGAAATGGTAGATTTGAGGATTCCTTTGTCCAAAGAGATCTACTCCTCTATGATCTGTGCTTATAGCAAACAGGTAAGTACTCTAGCAAGACTCTTCCCTTGTTAGGCTACCCATCAATTGACACAAATCCTGTTCTTTTATTAACCGTTCAATTTTTGTGCATTGCAGGGTCAACTTGTGAAAGCAGAATCTATGTTCAACTCAATGAAGGGGAGTGGTTGTTGTACTGATTTAGTTACATATACAGCAATGATAAATGCATATAGTGCATCTGGTAGGTTTTTTCTGTTTTAATCTGATTTGAGACGGTCAAGAAAGATAAATTGTTTTATTTTGATTTTTCGTAAATTAATTTTCATAACAGAGAACTGGGAAAAGGCTTGCGCCTTGTTTCATGAAATGGAAACAAATAACATTGAACTGGATCATATCGCATGCTCCGCTTTGATGAAAGCATTTAGTAAGGGAAACCAGGCCTCCAACGTTCTTATTCTGGCAGATATCATGAAGGAGAAGGGAATCCCTTTCAACGATGCCAATTTCTTTGATATGTTGTCAGCTTGTAGCATGTAAGATTGTACATATATATATGTTCAATGTTTTATTTATATACATTTTGGCACACTATTGGAATATKTCACCTTGTACTCTTTTATATGRCAAGGAGGGTTAGTTCACTGTCCGTTAGTAGAAAATTTTGTGAGCATTTGGTTTGGATGAACTAGTAGACTCACCAGCGATCCTTCCGTGTAGTCTTCTGAAAATAATATAATTTCTTAGCTGGATAAATTTGTGAAGTGACTGGGTGGTATAACTGTGTATGTTTATTAAGTTGAATGTTTACAAGAAACATTTAAGATGCTTGTACTCTCCTCAACTGCCTGAACATCTTTCTTAGGTTGTCCTACTCAACCTCACATACATATATCGAATGGTAGTCCACTCGCTCCCCTTCCTGGTGAACTCTTGACTAATGAACAACCCTCTTAACTGACACCAACAGCTATAACAGTTAACTAATAGCTAACTACTCTACCTCCATTGTGTCTAGTGTAAGTAAATTGTATAGGTACCTGGTTTGCCCATCAGTAATCTGCCCAAACTTTTACTTTGTCCTCAAGCTGAAAAGAGGGGAATTGTTGTGAGATGGTGTCGGAAGGTTCGCATGTCACCTCGATATCAGGGTGCCATTACCAATTGATCAATAGGTCAACAACCCTAGGGTCACTGTCCACACTTTTGTCTTTTAATTTAGATCCATGCTGCAATTGGAGCTCCAAATCAGCCGTGAACTGACAGGGAGCAGTGGTGTAGTTGGCCACAGAGGAGTGATTTTGTATGGAAACCTTCCAATACTCAGCCCTAGTAGTCCAGTTACCCCATGCACAAGGTTTCCTTTGATGAGGAATCTGCAAACAAGTTTCAAGGCATCTTTTGACAAACTTCTAGCCATCCATCTGCTTATGGGTATAAATTTTAATCTCTTCTAAACCTGTGCTATACTTTTAGGAAATTTTGCTCCAAAATAACTCATAAAAACATTGTCTCATTTTGAAACAATGGATAAAGGATGCTATGGAGTTGCACAATGTCTTTGACCACCCACCTGCGACTCCCTTGGGCTATGTGGTTTCAAGTTGTAGGCTAGGTGGCTTCCTCATTTCACTTCAGTCAAGCTACGACTCACTTAGGCTAGATGGCTTCTTGTATCAACTAACTTAGGCTACTGGGTATCTAGGCTCACCTAAGCTTTGCACTATTTTCTTCGTAAATTCTTAGGTGGCGAGCTACTTGGACAGCAATCTAGCATAAATTAACCATCTAGGTGACATAGTCTGCCCATTATCTTCATGCTTTTTCCATATGTTTAACACTTATGATTACGATTGCATATAATCATTGCACTTTTGTCAACACAACCCACTTGATTTTGAATCCTTTTGCACGAAAGGTTTTCAGGTTTTTTATTTTTATTTTTTTCCTTATTATGTTCATTCTTTCAGCAAGAAACTTACTGAAATTTGTATGCAGACTACGAGATTGGAGGAAAGCAACTGACTTAATCAAGCTAATGGAGCCCTCTTTGCATCTTGTTTCAGTAGGAACCATTAACCATCTTCTGAACTTTCTGGGAAAAAGTGGAAAGACGGAGATTATGATGAAGGTAGTTGGAAAATACTAGTATATTTTTTTTATGAGTTCATGTTGGTAATCGAGCTAAATTTTCTGCACGTGTTTTTTCACTTTAATTCTTTTTTTTTCCATTTTCTGATCACATTTGCCAACTGTTAGTATTCTTGTAATGGATATACTCTAAGCTATTTTATTCCGAATACAGCTATTCTACAGATTCATGGCATTGGGATCCAGTGTCAATATTAATACTTATTCAATATTGCTGAAGAATCTTTTGTCGGCTGGAAATTGGAGGAAATACATTGAGGTACTCTTTATATTTTATAATATGGCATTTCAAGGCCTTTAAAAAGCTGTTACTGCATGAAAAAAATATATATCCATGACATTGATTATAGGAGTTGCGTATAACTTGGACATTGGTTGTCACAAGTATTTCTGATTTCTCAGTACCATTATTAAAGCAGATTGTGAGTAAATCTAAACTTTGGAGGAGTACCATATGAATTATTAGAGATTGTCTATACATGGTAGTATAAATTTCTTTCGAGTCTTTTTGTCAAGATGCCAAGAGTCACGATTTGTAGAGCTGGATAAACGTTTGAATGTTCAGTTGAAAGTAGTTCTTACGTTGCTTACTTCAGTTTTTTCCAAATAATATAGTTGTCTCTACTTCTTAGTTTCTGTTTTTTAATGTGGACTGTGGAGTTTGTCACAATTTTTCTTTGTACTTTCACCCTTTTGATGAAATTTTTGCTTTCTATTTATAAAGGAAAAGAGAATAGAACTTGCTAGTTGCTAATACTTAAATTCTGTTGAATGACATGATTTCTTATAAATTTTCACATATACCCAACTGTCCAATACTTGTATGGCCAGGGATATGGAAATTTAAGCGAACTTATATGCAGGTATTGCAGTGGATGGATGATGCTGGAATTCAACCCTCAAATGCAATGTACAAGGACATACTTTACTTTGCACAAAATTGTGGGGGTGCTGAGTGTGCCGCTGTCATTAAAGAAAGAGTTGGTACGTGGTTATGTAGTT